CCGCGCCCTCCGCCCACCGCGCCAGCCACGCCATCCGCCGGGACTTCGAGCAGAGGGAGCCCTACAACTACCTCCAGGTGGCCTTCTTCCAGGTGGGGACCGGCCCCGGCGGCGGCGAGGGGCCCCCCGGGGTGGGCTCTCCCTAGGGGCTTGGGAGTCGCTACCCCCGGGCAGGCCCCGAGCGCGGCTCTCGTGGGGGGCCACCAGCCAGCTGAGGAGGTGGTGGGCAAGGGCTCGCCAGCCTGGGGACACGGGCTGTTTGGGCAGCGTGGGGCACAGGTGCCTTGAGGGTGAATTCAGGGAGCAGCTGGGGTGAGGGGTGGGTGTGAAGGGAAGGGGGCCCACAAGAGTGTGATGGGCGCTGCTGCCTTTTCTCCACAGCTGAAGAAGCTGGATCAGGCCGTGTCCGCCGCTCACACCTTCTTCGTCGCTAATCCCCAGCACCTCCAAATGCGGGAGGACATAGAGAAGTACCGGCGCATGTCAGGGGTGAAGTCAGACAACTTCCGGGACCTGGAGGCCACGCCGCACTGGGTGAGGGTTCGATGGAGAGCCAGGTGTCAGCAGTTCTTATCCCATCCTAGGGACCAGTCTGGGACCCTGATCTGTTCCCACACAAGGGCCATGGCTTGAGACAAGGCCCCGATACATAGAATCATAGAATGGTTTAGGCTGGAAGGACCTTTAAAGATCACCTAGTCCAACCCCCTGCCATGAGCAGGTACATCTTTCAGTAGATCAGGTTGCTCAAAGCCCCGTCCAACCTGACCTTGAATACTTCCAGGGATGGGGCATCCCCAACTTCTCTGGACAGCGTGCTCCAGTGTCTCACCACCCTCATCGTAACAAATGTCTTCCTTATCTCCAGTCTAAACCTACCCTCTTTCAGTTTAAAACTGTTGCCCCTACAGGCCTTGGTCAAAAGTCTCGCTCAGTCTTTCTTATAAGCCGCCTTTGTATTTGAAAGGCTGCGGGAAGGTCTCCCTTGAAGCCTTCTCTTCAGGGTGAAGACAAACCATTGCAAGTGTGACACAGACTTACTGGTGACAGTTACGGCAGGCTGCAGGGCCTTGGAGAAGTATATTTGGCTTAAGTCCAGAAGATTTTCTGTCACTGCGTGGTGGGCTGTGCATGGTCAGGCAGGCCCCTAAGTGTCAGCACTACCCTGTGAGCGACTCGAAGTCTCAGGGCATCCTTTGCTGTCACCCACGCTGATGAGTGACCTGGATCTGTCCTTCACAGGAAGCATACGAGGCTGGGGTGCAGCACTACAATGCAGATGAGTACCTGCAGGCTGTGGCCAGGCTGGAGGAGTCACTCACAGAGGCGCTGTCAGCACTGGAAGAGTGTCGTGCCCTGTGTGAAGGGCCTTGGGAGGATGAGGACGATGAGGAGGAGGAGATGCAACCTGGCCTGTACGAAGCCATTGCAGGTAGCATTAGAGGCACAGAGGGTTGGGTAGGAAGGCCATGCTCCCCACACTGGACATGCCCCATTTCCCAGCACTCCTGTCTGGAAGAAGTGCGAGCTACTGCCTTTCTTGCTCCTCTCTCTTGCAGCCCATTATATTCAGGTTTTGAAGTGCAGACAGCAGTGTGTCCTTGAAATTGCCACAAAGCCGGGGCGGATTTCTGCCACGGAAGATTTCATACCATCTCATCTTGATTTACTGCAGTTTGCCTACGATCAAGGTGAGCAGAGCCACAGCCCGCGAGTTATGCTGTGGCACCCCTAAACTTGCCCTTTGCCTCTGGACCTAGAGGGCAGCATGTCATGGGGAGAAGTGGCACACTGACCTGAGCTCTACCTCTCTCTCCACGCTTCTGCCCCCCGACTCTTCCCAGAACCTCTCTTCTCTTGCTCAAGCCTGTGGCCACCTTGGGAGAGGTCCCTTGTGGTCCACTTCAGTCTCCTTGTGCAGCTTCTGTAATGTGTGGCTGTTCCCACTTCTTTCCTCCAGCACTCGCCATTTCAAGTCCTTGCTCCAACTACCTGCTGTGTATTTTATACCCTCCTTTTCAGTACGTGGCTCCAGACCAGGCCCCCAATTCCTATCTAGAGCATGCACGTGCATCTCATTTCAGCAGTGGTGTTCCTTCTGAGTCAGGCCTGCCTGCCCTCGCTGAACTGATGGCCTGTCATGACATTGTTCATCCTGTCACCCTGTCACTTTCACACATTCCTCAGCTCTTCTCTTGGATACCTCTGTTCCTTCCCACACTGACCCAATTGTCTCTCATCTCCTCTGTCAGACCATTGGTAAAACTTGTATCTCAAAGAAGCCTCCAGACCCCTCATCATGTCTATTGGGTGAGGGAGATGGGACCATCTTTCTTCCAAATCTATACTTTTTTTTTCTCTGTCTCCTCTGAACAAACTCCCAATAAGTGTTGAAAGTGAGCGCGTTCTTCACCGGGCTCATTCCCTGTATTCTCTGCCCATCGTTGGGTAGAGGCCCAACTAGGCAGGGGTTGATGTGTACTCAGTGTAAGGCCTTCTACTGCCGGATCCTGACTGGGGCATTGGGTGCTGCTGGCCTATACGCGTTTGCTGCTAATGTCGTTTTTCAGAGACATATCTGTTTGTTCTGTTCTGTCCCTGCCCAAGTTGGGAACCAGGCACTGGCTGCTGAATGTGCTGCTTCCTACTTGCTCTTCTATCCCACGGATGAGCCAATGTTGGAGAAAATGAAACAGTATCGCACAGTACTGGGAGAGGACACAGCTGTCACAGCCAGAGAGGTAGTTATAACCCCAGGTCTGTACTTTTTGGCCCTTCCCTGTCGCATAAGACAGGATCACAGTCCAGGAGACAAAAAGGGAAACGTGTTCCACTGCAGATGTGTGCCAAGCCCAGGACTGAAGAAACTGAAGCCTGAGTTTACTTGTAGTCTGTACCAGGCAGGGTCCCTTCAGGACAGAACCGGGCTTTCATAGTGCACAGCAGTGTGTTGGGGCAGGTTTCTGCCCTGGACAGGGATGGGGTTGTCTTTTGTAGGGTAGTTGTTTGACAGCCTCTTTGCTTCCTTAGAGTATTCAACATTATGTGCAAAGATCTTTGATGGAGAAGAAGCTGATTTATTATGCAGTGGAGCATCTAGGAGGAACTTTTAATGACCCTGTAAGTAACAGTATCATCTTAATCTTGCTGCCCTGATATCGCCAAGACAGTTGCCAGAATTCACTTCAGTAGCACATGATCCAGAAGGGATCAGATGCTGATGAGAAGGACCCCCAAGTCCTTATGAGGTGGATCTTTAAGGCCTTTCTGCTGCTCCAGGACTGAAGTTAGTTTGAAACTGCTGCTTAACCATATGCATTAGCCCAATCATGGTTGTCGTCAGAAGCAGGCCAGAACCATTGGTCTGATATTCACGGGAGAAGCAGGACAAGGAACTGGCTGTTTGACATGATTCAGTGTGGGAGAAGTTTGTTGTGTACTGAACGGTTTGCGTTTGTTCCTACAGGATCTTTGGACTCCAGATGAGCTGATTCCTGAAAACCTAAAGGAGAAACACAGGTAAGGTTGGCCAAGTCGACTAGGACTGAAATATAAGTGTTGGAAGTAGGGGATGGGGTTGGACTGGCAGGGGTGGTACAAGGAACAGTAATACCTACTGAGGAAAGGGCAAAACAGGAGCAGGAAGGGTGTGAGATGCTACCACAGAGGAGGGTTAGGCATAGCTCTGTGTACTGACAGCCCGGGTCTCTGTTTTTTCCCTTGTTCCCGAGAGAGGATCAGGAGAAGCAAAAGCAGGAAACTTTGGATGTGGAAGGGAGGAAGAAGAGGGGTGAGTAAAAGAGCTTGAAGAAGGACTTGGATGCAGTCAGCCAGTCTTAGTCAGGCCAAGTGCTTTCTTTTCTTCCATCCTCAGACATTTGAATGCTAGCATAGATGCAGATTCACTTGAATGGCTCAGCAAGTCTTCTCACTGTTTCTTTTCTCCCTCTTTGATGCATGTGTAATCTTGCAAAATCTCACTGCGTACATCTCTGGGATGGGAACTCAAAGAGCACTGTGGCTGGAGAAGCTGAGAGCAGTGGTGCCTGAATACGTGAGAAGCCTGTGGACATGCAGATCCCTGTTCAGTGTGGCAGGAGTGTCTACACCAAACCTGGTTCAACTCCACCAGCCCAACTTCAAACAACATTTTTCTGAAGGGAAAAAGGAGAGGGGGGGAAATGGAAACTGGAAACAGACTATTCGGCTTGGGCAAGTCTTTCCCTGAAAAACACAAGTCCAAATGGTTTGTGGCTGAATGCTATAGACTGCAGTGCAGAGTCCCACGTTCTTGCTGGTCCTCTATTCTTATGTGTGGACGCACAGCCTCTTGCAGGGCTCTGTCCTGGAGTCTTTGCTTGAAGTGACCCCAAGTGGTTCTCTGCTGTGACACATGGGAGAGCAGATCATTCTGAGGGCCTGAGTGTCTTGGCATTCC